TCTTATGCCTGCCTGGAATTATGGCTGACACGTGACTGAAACTAACATGAATCATCTGGACACCTGGTTGAGCCGACTGGACTGATCAGCTCATGCCCTTCACCCTAGTCCTCACCACAAGTCCTTTAAAAAGTCCCTAGACTAGCAACTTGGTGGTGCTCCATCGCTGAACCTGCTCCTGCTGTGCAGGATTTTTGCTTTCTCCCTTCAGCTCCCAGCTATGAACCTGTAATAAGCCTCTGTGGTCCATGAATTTCAATCTTCACATTCTTGAGATGAGAACCTGAAAGCCAGAGGCTCAGGGCAGCTTTAGTGGCTGTTGAATTTTTGAGACCCTAACTCTCTTCTCCCTCTCCTCACCCAGCTAAGTTCACTAAGAGCTGAGAAAGACTCTGAAGCCGCATTCAAAAGACATTTCCAGATGGCCTATATCAGGAAGATGTAGAGGGGAAAGACAGAAGGAGGGAGGGAGCAAGGGATAGGAGGGGAGGGGAGGGGAGGGGCAGAGAGGGAGAGAGAGACTATCAATACACTTTTTGAGGTTTTTCTTAAGGGGCAGGCAGGATTTCATTTGTTTGTTTTGGAGTCAGAGTTTTATTATGTAGCCCCTGGCTAGCTTTGAACTTAGAATCTTCCTATTTAGTTTCCTGGGTGCTAGGTGCCACCATGCCAGACTTCACAATAAGCTTCTTTATAGATTAATCTGTTTTTACTAAAATCTTGCTGTATATAAACAGATTAAGAGAGTCTAATTTGATGCTGAATGTATCTGATTTCAGATGATTAGACATTACTAAATGACTGCGACACTTCTGTGTCTTCAGACTTGTTATAGCTCCCAATGACCTCTGTCTCTGGAGTTAATGATCTCCTGCATTGTCCCATGGCTGATCTGTGGGACCAAGTGGACCGGAAGCGTTAGGATGTGACTTCTGAGGCTCAGTAATAAAATGACATTGTGATGGCTAATCCTGGGTGTCAACTTGATTTGATCTGAGATTAACTGAAATGAAAGAGATCTTCTTGATTGGATCATCTAAAGCCAGAAGGCACACCCTAAATGTGGGCGTTACCTTCTGATGGCAGCCAGTATAAAAGACCAAGGCAGAGGAGAACACGGGGCTTTTTGCGGCTTGCCTTCTCTCTCACTGGTGAGTTCGTCTTGCTGCTGTAGACTGAAGACTAGCTGATATTTTGGAATTTGTCAGACCTTCAGCACCAGATTGGGACTACTGAGACATCCAGCCTTGTGGACTGAGCGACTACAGATTCTCAGCCTCTCCAGTGTGGTGCAGCCATTGTTGGACTACTCGGACTCTATCCTGTGAGCTAAGCTGATAAATCTTTATACATATTCATTCTACTGGTTCTGTTTCTTTGGAGAACCCTGACTAATACAGACATTGAGGGTTTTACCTTGTTCTATCTCAGGATGCTTATTTTTCAAGAATCCCATGCCTTGCCATGAGGTCACTCAAGTAGTCCTAAAGAGAGAGCCACCTCATAACAAACTGAGGCCCCTTTGCCAACAGCCATCCTCCAGCCAAGCCATCAGATGAATCCAGCTCTGGCTGAGAGATTAAGTGCAGCATCATAAGGCCCTCCCTCAATCAGAATTCCCAGCAAAACTGCTCTTAGATTTCTGTTTGGGACTTTTTGTTAGTTTTTAAATTTTTTTTTTAATTTTTAATAACTACATGATTAAAAGAAGCATTTCACTACAGATTTAACATATTCAGTAACACACTCCAGAGCAAGAGTACATCTCTTTCACAAATGGGTGCAAGTTTCTAGGTTCACAGTTAAGTTAATACAGTTATACAATATTTAACTCAGTATAAGCCCTGTAAGACATAAAATTGAATGAGTTTTTTAACCTTTAAGATCTACGTTTCATTTTGGAATATATTGTTCCTTGCAGAAAGACTCATTGTTTTTGCTACTAACACTGAGATGTTGGCACATGCATCTCTAATCTGTATGCATCCGATTTTTACTAGTCATAATCAGTTGCCTGTGTATGTCTTGTGCCTGTGTATGTCTATAAAGGCATTGGGTAGGTTACAATGGTAATGTTTATCACCTATACTAATTAACATGATGTAAATTTTTATGCTTCCTCCTCAAATATAAATACATTTTAAAATTTGTTAATTTTTGTATATATCACACAGAACATCCCAAATCATCTTATTTAACTATACACCCACTTCCCAGATGGCAACCTCCCATATCCTCCATCCCCCCACTAGAGCCTGTATACTCTGGTATCCCTGCTGCTGTCTGCTGTGATGTCAGCACCCCCAGCAGTTCCCCACCACTTGTCTGTCTGGTGATTATAGTCAGCCTATACAGAGGTATTTGTTTTAGGAGGGTCAGCTGTTCCTCATGTAGCAGCAATCGGTTGTCAATATTCCTTTAGATAAGATTGGGGTCTGCTGTTCATTTTCCCAGTTCTATGCTGGGTTACTATCTGGGAGTCTTTTGGCCACCCTGGGCAACAACGCAAAAGAAGGTATCTCCTATCTGGTATTGTTGCTTA